TTCTGTCTCTCCGCTCTCTTCCTGTCTGTCCTCTCTCTTTCTCTCTCTCCTCTCTCTCTCCTCTTTCTGTCTCTCCCCCCCCCTCTCTCTCTGTCTCTGTCTTAAAGTGGCCAAGTTGGAAGACCCCCGTTTTAAATGTTTCACGTTAATATCAAAATCGAGGGGTTCACGTGGTTTGCAAAACAGGGATTGTTGCAAAACTCAAGACCCACATTTCTTCCCTTAAAAATATGCAACCACAAAGGACCCCCCCAAAAAACCTCTTTTTTCTAAGTAAAACAGCTGTGAAGTGGCTTTTGCCCCCATTGTGTGACCTTTCTTGACACAGTTCTCACGTTATTAAGTTAGTGACACGGTCGTTAAGTGGAATCCGGCTTCCCCACTGAATTTGCTTGTCAGAAGGACGCCAAAGGGGGATCACGTCACGTCCCGGGATACGGCAACCGTCATAAATACGAATCAGTTTGCCGAGCGTCCGAATTTTGTTATTACGTGATGCTGCAACGGTCGTAAAGTGTGAAAAACGGTTGTGAGTCCCTTTTTTCAGTCGCTTTGGTCACTAAAGAAGTATTGCGTGTCAAGGACTTGGCTGTACGGAGAATATTTGTGGTTTTCACGCTACACAAGGCAAAGTTTAGCCGGCTCAGGACTGAAAATAAAAAAATCAAATAACAGCAGGTTTTGGTTTTTTTTTGAAATGAGGACAATTAGTTTCTATGAATCTGGATATTAACCTTCCCGCATTCCCGAGAAATAGACGGCCCAGCCAAATTGCATCTGAGCATGTGGGAAGCGCACCCGGCTTCCTCGGGGTTACAAGTTCAGCTTTTGAAGAATAAATGAATCATTTGCTTCTGAGACCTTTTCTTTTTATTTATTTTTTTGCACAACACCTGGGAACAAGGTGTGACAACCTGTTTTTCTGCCAAAGGGCTTTCAGAGGGGATTAATCCAGGCTCATTGGCAGCTGTTTTTAAAGCCAAACGGATCCTCCATAATCCAGAGCAGTCTATATATCAATTGGCAGGGGTGGCCCTCGTTGCTCAACCAGACAGCTGTGATGGAGTTTCCTGCCTGAGCAGGGGGTTGGACTAGATGACCTCCAAGGTCCCTTCCAACTTTATCATCATCATCATCATCATCATCATCATCATCATCATCATCATCATCATCCTGAAATGGAATAGGGTTTTCTGCCTGAGCAGGGGGTTGGACTAAATGACCAACAAGGTCCCTTCCAACTTTATCATCATCATCATCATCATCATCATCATCATCATCATCATCATCATCATCCTGAAATGGAATAGGGTTTCCTGCCTGAGCAGGGGGTTTGACTAGATGACCTCCAAGATCCCTTCCAAATCTATTATTATTATTATTATTATTATTATTATTATTATTATTATTAGTCTGAAAATGGTATAGGGTTACCTGCCTGAGCAAGGGGTTGGACTAGATGACCTCCAAGGTCTCTTCCAACTTTATGATTATGATTATGATGATTATGATCATCATCACCATCATCATCATCATCATCATCATCATCATTCTGAAATGGAATAGGGTTTCCTGCCTGAGCAGGGGGTTGGACTACATGACCTCCAAGATCCCTTCCAAATCTATTATTATTATTATTATTATTATTATTATTATTATTATTATTATTATTATTATTATTATTATTATTATTATTATTATTATTATTATTATTATTATTATTATTATTCTGAAATGGTATAGGGTTTCCTGCCTGAGCAGGGGGTTGGACTAGATGACCTCCAAGGTCCCTTCCAACTTTATGATTATGATTATGATTATGATCATCATCATCATCATCATCATCATCATCATCATCATCATCATCATCATCATCATTATTATTATTATTATTATTATTATTATTATTATTATTATTATTATTATTATTATTATTATTATTATGTGAGCTTTGTCCCATTTTACGAGCTTTCTCGCCCCAGGTGTTAAAGTGAATCATTTCGGTTGTTAAGCGAGTCACACGGTCGTTAAGCGAATCTGGCTTTCCCAGCGACTTTGGCTTGTCAGAAAGTTGCAAGAGGGAATCAGTCACGTGACCCCAGGAGACAGGGCAACCGTCATAAATATGAGCATCTGAATTTGGATCACCTGACCAGGGCTGCAACGGTCCTACGTCGCTTCTTTCAGTGCCGTTGTGACTTTGAACGGTCACTAAACGAATGGTTGCAAGTCGAGAATCGCCTGTAGTCCTCCCACCCGGAGAAGGGGTTCACTTCACTCTGTGCATGCTCAGAGTTGCTCTCACTTTGGGGAGGGGGGCTTCCCCTAGGGGAGTTTAGAACCCCGGGAGGTGACCTCTGAGTTTTCAGGGTCGCTGTGCGGGTACCTTATGGGCTTCGTGAATTATGATTGGCTTTGTGGTTTTTCATAGCAGTGGCTGCAGAAAGCTGGTGTGTGTGAGTGTGTGTGTGTGTTGTGAGACAGAGAGAGAGAGAGGAGAGAGACGAGAGAGAGAGAGAGAGAGAGAGAGAGAGAAGAAAGAGAGGGAGAAAAGAGAGAGAGAAAAGAGAGACGAGAGAGAGAGAGAGAAAAGAGAGACGAGAGAGAGAGAGAGGAGAGAGAGAGAGAGAGAGAGAGAGAGGAGAGACAAGAGAGAGAGAGAGAGAAGAGAGAGAGAGAGAGAAGAGAGAAAGGGCTGGCCTGAGGAATTCTGGGAGTTGAAGTCCACAAGTCTTAAAAGTGGCCAAGTTGGAAGACCCCTGACTCAAAAGGTTGAAAGCCTTTGGGAAAGGACGACACTATCTCTGCCTGCCCTATTTTGCTTCACCATCAGATGGCAGCCAAGGGCCAATGTTTCCCGTGTAGCTTTGCTGCCCTCTTGTGGAGGCCACCATTTTTGCAGCCCAAAGCTGAAATGCGATTGGTTCATTTGTGGTTTCAAGCGGTTGAACCGCGGATCAGCCAACCCCATCTTACTTTTGCCCTCCCTTCTTCTCCCTGCCAGGCATCCCATCGGCCATGCTGGCTAGGGAACCCTGGGAGCTGAAGTTTAGTTACCTGGCAAGTGCCTGGATTGGGGAAGGCCGTCCTGCGTGTTGTGAGAATCCAGGCAGTGTGTGGTTGTTTTACGGTAAGAAAGGGGTGTACGGTGTGAGCCCCTAAAATTAGCTCGTTCGGGGCAAAGCAGAGCGAGGTTAACCCTGGGATGGCCAGAGAGCCCTGTGGCTGGTTCAGAGACCTGGACCTTTGGCGATTCCCACGTTGGGCTACAGTTAGGAGCACCCAGTAAACCATGGTTGAGACTAACCAGGTTGATTATTTATTGATGATCTGCCATCAAGTCGTTTTTGACTCTTAGTAACTACACAGATTGACTTCTGCTATCAGAAGCTGTCCCTAATTTGTTATGTATTGCCATTGTAACTGAGGAAGGGGGGGAGGGGGGGAGGGAGGAAGGAAGGGGAAGAGAGTAAGGAAAAGAAGACAAAAGAAGGAAGGAAAGAAGGAAAGAAGGGGAAGAGAGGAAGGGAAAGAAGACAAAAGAAGGAAGGAAGGAAGGAATGAAAGGAAGGAAGGAAGGAAAGGAAGGAACGAAGGAAGGAGGGAAGGGGAAGGGAAAGAAGATGAAGGAAGGAAGGAGAAGAGAGGAAGGGAAAGAAGACAAAAGAAGGAAGGAAGGAAGGAAGGGAAAGAGAAGAAGGGAACAAAGACAAAGGAAGGAAGGAAAGAAGGAAAGAAAGAAAGAAAGAAAGAAAGAAAGAAAGAAAGGAGAAAGAAAAAGAAGGAAAGAAAGAAAAAGGGAAGAAAGGGAAAGAAGACAAAGGAGGAAAGGAAAGAAGGGGAAAAGGAAAAAAAGAAAAAAGAAAAGAAAAATGGAAGAAAAATGGGATAGAAGGGGAAAGAAGGAAAGAGGAAGGAAGGAAAGAAAGAAAGAAAGAAAAAGAAAGAAAAGAGAAAGAAAAGAAGAAAGGAGAGGAGGGGAAGGGAAGGGAGGAAGGGAAAGAAGGCAGAAGGAGGGAAGGAAAGAAAAACGGGAAAGAAAAGAGACCGGGAAGGAAAGAGAAAAGAGGGAAGGGGAAAAAAAAACCCAAAGGGGAAGAGAAAAGAAAGAAGGGAGACAAGAAACCAGAAACCCAAGCCGAGGGAGGGAGGAAGGAAGAAAGGAAGGAAGGAAGGGGAAGAGAGTAAGGGAAAGAAGACAAAAGAAGGAAGGAAGGAAGGAATGAAAGGAAGGAAGGAAGGAAGGAAGGAAAGGAAGGAACGAAGGAAGGAGGGAAGGGGAAGGGAAAGAAGACGAAGGAAGGAAGGAAGAAAGGAAGGAAGGAAGTGAAAGAGAAGAAAGGAAAGAAGGCAAAGGAAGGAAAGAAAGAAAGAAAGGAGAAAGAAAAAGAAGGAAAGAAAGAAAAAGGGAAGAAAGGCAAGGGGAAGGGAAAGAAGACAAAGGAGAAGGAAAGAAGGGGAAAAGGAAAAAGAAAAGAAAAATGAAAAAGAAAAGAAAAAAAGGAAAAAAAGATGGGATAGAAAAGGAAAGAAGGAAAGAGAGGACAGAGGAAGGAAGGAAGGAAGGAAAGAAAGAAAGAAAGAAAGAAAGAAAAGAGAAAGAAAAGAAGAAAGGCGAGGAGGGGAAGGGAAGGGAGGAAGGGAAAGAAGGCGGAAGGAAGGAAGGAAGGAAAAAGATAGAGAAGGAAGGAAGGAAGGAAAGAAAGAAAAACGGAAAAGAAAAGAGACCGGCAAGGAAAGAGAAAAGAGGGAAGGGGAAAAAAAAAACCCAAAGGGGAAGAGAAAAGAAAAAAAGGGAAACCAGAAACCCGAAACCCAAGCCGAGAAAGGAAGGAAGGAAGGAAGGAAGGAGAAAGCCCGAAAGAGAGGAAGCGAGGGAGGGAGGGAGGGAGGGAGGCAGAGCAGCGGCCGGCCCCTTCCAGGAAGCCGCCGGGCTGCGCCGGAGCCTCCCCCCGGGGCCCTGATGTCAGCCGCCCTCCCCCGCCGCCCAGGGCATAAAGCCAGGTGCGCTCACCTGGCGCGCAGGTAAAGGCAGCAGCGCCCGTCCGTCCCTCCGTCCGCCATGGCCAACTCCGGCTTGCAGCTGCTGGGCTTCGTGCTGGCCCTGCTGGGCCTGATCGCCCACCTGACGGCCACCATCCTGCCCCAGTGGCGGGTCTCCTCCTTCGCCGACGGCAGCATCATCACCGCCCAGTCCTTCTACATGGGGCTGTGGATGGAGTGCGTCTGGCAGAGCACCGGCCAGCTCCAGTGCAAGGTCTTCGACTCCATGCTCTCCCTGGGCGGTGAGTGGGGGGCGCCCACGCGTGGGAGGGGGGGGAGGAGAGAAAGAGATGGGGGGGGCCCCGAGAGGGAAGCCACACACCTGTCGGGCTACCTGTCGAGCTACCTGCCTGCCTGCCGGCCGCGCCTTCGCCGCTTCCATCCGCCGCCGCCGCCGCCCACGCGTGGGAGCCAGGAAAAGCTCGCCCGCGGGCGCCTGCCTCGCCTCTCCCCCGCGGGGCCCGATCGCCCGACACGCGTGGGCCAGGGGAGGAAGAGAGAGACCCGGGAGGGGGGGCAGGCGGAAGGGACCCTCCCCCCTTTTTTTTACACCGGTGGGGGGGGGGAAAACACGCGCGGCCAGGGCAAAAGAGAGAGAGCGAGAAGAAAGAAAGAAAGAAAAGAAAGAGGAAGGAAGGAAGGAAAGGAAAGAAAGAAAATGAAAGAAGGAAGAAAGGAAAGAAAAAAAGGGAGGAAGGGAGGAAGGAAGGAAAGAAGAAAGAAAGAAGGAAAGAAGGAAGAAAGGAAAGAAAAAAGNCTCCCCTTCTCCCTCCTCCCCTCCCCTCCCCCCAGCCCGCCACACCTTCAAAGGCAGCTTGCGACAAAAGGTGCAGGATGACCTCCCCCCCTTCGCCCCCCCCAGAGATCTTTGAAGGAGGTGGGGCAGAAAGGAAGGAGGGGGGGGAGGGAAAAGAGGAATTGCTTGCGCTCTTGCAGAAATTTTCCCAGGCCCAGGACCCTTGGTGTAACACACCTGGCTGGGGTAGGTGGGGGGGGGGGAAATCACAGGTGAGGCTGGCAAAAAACCCAGGTGACCCAGTTGCCAAATTCAAGCCGAGTTCAGGCAGCAAATTAGACCTGGAAGAAACCTATTTGAGCCGTTTTTTTTTTCAACCTGGGCAACTTTACGGACGGGTGGACTTCAACTCCCAGAATCCCCCAGCCTGGGAGTTGAAGTCCCACCCGTCTTAAAATGGCCAAGTTGAGAAACGTTGCTTTGTAGACCCAAACTGTTAAAAATAATAATAATAATAATAATAATAATAATAATAATAATAATAATAATAATAATAATAATAATAATAATAATAATAATAATAATAATTTATTCCAGTAACTGGCCAGGTTTTCACGTGGCTACTACGAAGAGTTTGCCGAAATTGAGAATACTCTGTGTGCAAAAATGAAGGCAGCTGTTGGGATTCTGAATGGGTGAATCCCCGCCAGGTTGAATTTTGTTTATTGACGTGCTTATTAAATTTATATGCTGCCCATCTCGCGATGGAGCGGCTCGGGGCGATGTTAAAGTTGGTAAAATAATAAAAGTCTGGGAAATATCAACAGGGGTTCTGCCAAAGCTCAAATCGGTTCTCCCCTAAATTGGACGATTGGGTGATTTTTCTCCTGGATGAAAAATAGACCATCACGTTAGCACTTTACGTGATGCCATATTGAGAAAAACCCAGTTTGTAAGGGAGTTGTTGGGAGGATCCCGTCTGCCCGGCACAGTTCTGTCCTCAGTCCAGCTCCCCCTTTTATGTGGGTGTTTCTTTGCCAAAGAATTTTAAGATTTTATTTGCACTTTGTTGTTTTTAACTTGAGAATGGAATGCAGTGGGACGGAATTGGGTGCCAACTCCAAAATCAGATTTATTTATATATTTTCTGCCCCTGCTCAGTTTGGCATTGTGCTGTAGCTTTGTTGGCCTGTTAAAATGAAACAATAAAATGAAAATAGAAATAAATATAACAAAATGAAATCAAAGTAGAAAGAATAAAGTGAAATAAAAGTAAAATAGAAGTAAAAAGAATAAAATGAAATAGAAACAAAATAGAAATAAAAAGAATAAAGTGAAATAAAAACAAAACAGAAATAAAAAGAATAAAATAAAATAAAAGTAAAAAATAAAATGAGATAAAAACAAAATAGAAATAAAAATAACGAAATGAAATAAAAGTAAAATAGAAATAAAAAGAATAAAGCGAAATAAAAGTAAAATAGAAGTCAAAAGAATAAAATGAGATAAAAACAAAATAGAAATAAAAAGAATAAAATGAAATAAAAGTAAAATAGAAATAAAAAGAATAAAATAAAATAAAAGTAAAAAATAAAATGAGATAAAAACAAAATAGAAATAAAAATAACGAAATGAAATAAAAGTAAAATAGAAATAAAAAGAATAAAATGAGATAAAAGTAAAATAAAAGTAAAAACAATAAAATGAGAAAAAACAAAATAGAAATAAAATAATAAAATGAAATAAAAGTAAAATAGAAATAAAAAGAATAAAATGAAATAAAAGTAAAAAAGAAGTCAAAAGAATAAAATGAGATAAAAACAAAATAAAAATAAAAAGAATAAAATGAAACAAAAACAAAATAGAAATAAAAAATAAAATAAAATAAAAGTAAAAAATAAAATGAGATTAAAAACAAAATAGAAATAAAAAGAATAAAATGAAATGAAATCTGTAAAACCATCAAACATCCACACCTGCCTCTCCCAGGTCCTTGGGAAGGACTTGATAGGTAGACAAAAATACCAAATCTAGTCTGAACACCTGGCTGACTACGATGAACCATAAAATGAAATAGAACTAATGAAATGAAAGAAAAATAATCAAGTCCAATCAAAAGAGTCAAATCAAATAAAACCAGAAGAGAGTTAAAAATAATCAAATCCAATCAAAATAGTCAGATCAAATAAAATAACAGTCAAATCCAATCAAAATAAAAAAGTTAATTAAAAACAATCAAATCCAATCAAAAGAGTCAAACCAAATAAAAATAGACGAGTGAGTTAAAAATAATCAAATCCAATCAAAATAGTCAGATCAAATAAAATAACAGTCAAATCCAAT